ATCGAGAGGACGCCATCGACAACATCGGCGCGGCGGCGGCCCTCTGTTCTCAAAAGTGACGGCCAGAGTCGTCAGCTTCTTATCGCGCCTCGCGGGGTCCTTCGCCTCCCCGCTGGGCTGCGCCGGACGGCGGCACGATTTAGGCAAAGGAGCAGAGCGAGGCCGGGGCGCCACCGTGGTGCAACAAGCCGTGCAATCTATCCATCTGCCACATCCACCTGCGGCCGCGGGCCTATCTGCCTCGGCATCTCCTCATCCATTTGCAGCCGGGGCTGGGACCTCCCCCTCCCCCGCGGCAGCCCCGAGGCAGCCCCGCGGCGACAGCGTGTGAAAGTGACCCGTGGCGGCTTATTTGCTGCAACGTCTCACTCTTATTTGCTGCTCTTTTTATCCCGTAGAACCCTCCTCCTCCTTGCCGGTCCGCCGGCGTGGTGCAAGTGCGCCCCCTTCTCCTGCTGCTCCGAGCATGGCAGCGTTCGGGAAGATTTGAATGGGACGTTTGTCCTTTACTTCTGGGAAAACACAAAAGGCACGTCACGGATCGTGGGACAATTGGACTCGCCTTTTTACCGATGGCTGTGCCGGGCTGTGCCGTGGCTCTGCCGCTGTGGAGGACGGGGAGGAGGGAGGCGGGGGCGGTGGTGGTCCCTCGCGCCGCCGGTGCACGGCAGCCGTCGCCAGGCGATCGGGTCGTCCTGGAAGCTCCAGATCCTGTCGGCGCCTTCCCGCTGCACTGCTAAAGTCGTTAGGTCTGAACTTCCCATTGGCGTTGTAAAGGGACTCGGAGTGCAGTGATTGCGGGTAGATCTGGGCAGATCTCCGCAGCTGCTATGGACCCTCTCCCTCTCATGACCTTCATGATCCCGCTGTCACCGGTCTGCCTCCTCCAGATCAGAAAGCCCCCTGCCCTCACTGCTCCGGCGGACCTTTCATGACCTTCCAGGACTTCCAGGAGGATGCTCCAGGCGCCCCGTCTGCAGACATTCTTCCTCCAGAACTCAGAGCTTCACAGCAGAGCCTCCATCCCACTTGCATCCCCACCGATCCCCACCTGTCACGACACGAGATGGAACAGAACTCGACCGTTTTTCGATTCATCCCAGGATGAGGAGAGGTGAGGCGGGGGCGGGGTCCGCAGTACGGACGGACCGCTCGATCACGCTTCCGGCCGCCCTGGCGACGGGGTGGGGCGGGGGAGGAGGGCGGAGGGCGCGGGTCGTGAGTCCGGGCCGCGACTCCACCGCCGCGGCTCGACGTCGTCACTTTGCAGCATTGAGGCTCCGCGCCGCGCGCCGCGCGCCAGCCTCTCCTCGTCAACGAGACGACCGGAGAAATCTCGAACATCGCTGTGCAAACAGCCTGGAGCGGCAAAAGAAAAAAGAAGCATGACGCCGCTTGGTCGCTCCGCGGAGGCAAAAAACAACAAACTCTTTTAATCACAGCAACAACAACAACAGCAAATTCGCTGTTATTATTGGTCGCGGTTCGGCCGCAGGTGCCGCGAGGCGAGTGCGCCGCGCTCTGGTGATAATCAGCCTGCTGCACCATCGCCGACCATCGCTCATCCGCGAGACAGTCTCTGCCTGGCGATCGGCAAACACCACTGACTGGCAGGGCGGGGCCGCGCCGGACCCACTGCTCATCTCCACGGACGTCATCATTTCTTTTCCCGCCCTTTCTCTTGATGGCCCATGCAGCCCAGCGCGGCGCGGACCACGTCCTCCTCCGCAGTCACTCTTTCTTTATCCAACTCCTTCCTCTCCGCCGCTGTTGTAGTATTTGTGTTTAAAGGTCACCCCGTGTCCGCCGGGC